GCATCCTCAAAATCGATCCTCAAGGGCCGCTGTCCTGCAGGTTTTAGAGGTTTCTCTGCTTTAGCACACCTGATTCTGATGACTGCAGTTCAGCAAAAGCCTGTTAATCAACTATCAATGTAAATCAGCAGTGCTGGAGCTGGAAAACCTCTAAAACCTGCAGGACAGCGGCCCTTGAGGATCGATTTTGAGGATGCCTGATCTAAAGAAACACTCATCTGGATCAGAATTCACACACACACAGAGCATCAAGTACTCACAGTCCAGAACTTTATGAAGTACTGCAGAACCGTGGCAGCGATGAACAAACAGTATACCAGTGAGTAGGCCAGGAAGAGGATGAAGAACTTGTAGTTAGAGAAGCCAACGCAGTTGTTCACCCTGCACACAAACACAAAGTCCTAAGAGGAAATTCAAACTTACAACACAGAACTGACTGCGTTGTGTCAGCAAGCAACAAAATTACGCAGAATAAGACTTAAAAATATTCCTCTAGTGATAGTGGAGAGAAACATTTAATCTGCAACAATCAGTTGCACATTGATTAGCAAATGAGATCCTTTCTTTTTGGCCTGGGTCAAAGTTTTCCAGTAGTTAGCTGAAAGTGCAGATTTCATGACATTTCAGGCATAACGCTTTAATTCATTTGCCTACATATTGAGATACACCAACAAAAATTGTAATAAAAATGTAAACTTAATGAATATATACATTGTTTACAAAAATTTAGAAACATAATCCTAGAAAAGTGGCAGCGCAAAAATATAACAGCTGGTACAAATATCTCATAATGCAAATGACGTGACGCCACCTGTCAATCAATCTAAGATTCTTATCAGATACTGACCAATCAGTGATCATCGTTTGTCTTCAAGTAACACCCCCACCCCACCTCAGAAGCAGCAGCATCTTTCTCTCCAGCAACAATGCTGGGATATTACATTACGAAGGCAAAGCAGAGATGGAAATAAACATTTTTAAAAAAGCATCTAATAAATGGCTGAATGTTTTCAGCTGGAAAATGCAATTCAAACACACTTTACTCCAAGTGTTTAGAGGGTGGAACAAAGTTTATCCCATTACAAACACCAAAAAAATTAGTCTTGGAAAATGTAAAAGACCGGCTGCCAACTTTATGAGCAGGTGAATACGACATTGATCAATGATGACTCCTGGTTCTGTTTTAATCTAATCACATTTTTGTTTTTTATTGCTTAGCTTGCTTTCCTAATTAATTGCTGGCACAGCACAAGCTATGTCCCTATTTTCTTTTACTTCACATTCATGCGCTGCTTTATGTGCTTTATGAAGATGGGAGTTACCAAGGACAGTGGTGGTCCATCTTCAGCACACACCTGCAAAAGAAAAGTGATAAAAATACACTTAAATACACCAAAAAAGAAAAGAGAAACTCATAGATGATAGTCATGTAATGGTCTTACATGTCGCAAGCAGAGCAGTGATGGCACCGGTCCGGCTTGATGACTTGACAGCGGTCACAGTAGCGGATTGCTGCGACGACATTAGCACAATCTTTAAGTCCAAATGAAACAAAAGCTGATTCTCTTTTACCAAATTAGAGGGGGGTCTTACCTCCAGCACCTGTGCGGGTGTAAAGAGGAAGGTTGGAGGCAACCCTCCATAAGATTTCCTGTTGGGACTCTGGCCTCTCCTCCCTCTCGTAGCGCTCTTTCTCGGCTTTCGGCAGGCAAAACTGGAAGGAAAAAGACAAGCTCCTTCCTGAATGAACTAATCTGATCACAAAAGGAGAGCAGAGGCATGCAGACGGAGATGGGGGTGTGCTTTGGGGTCCTGTACCTCTTTGGAAGGGTTGGCAGGCTTGGTGAAGATGGTCTTCCAATAAGACCACACAAACATGACGAAAGAGAGGTGGAAGAAGATCAGGTAGATAACTGGAGATGGAAGGAGGGGAGAACGGATCAGGGGGGAGAATAACACAAACCATCCAGTAAGTGAACAGACAGGACAGAACTGCTGCCACTCAGACCACAGGCCTGAGGAGGGAACCACACAGCTATATAATTAATGGGAGTGGACTGCAAAAAGGTAATGCTGATTAAGGAGGAGCTTCAAGGCTACAAGCGAGCAAACTTTAATAGGCGCAGAGTTTCTGTGCCAGCGAGGAGAGCTGGCACAGAGCTGACCTGTGTTCAGTAAAATTCCATTCACAACAACTTCAGCACATTGTTTATGTTTTGCAAAACTTACCCTGCTCTCCTATATTCCTAATGGTGACTGCAAGAGATAAAGAGAAAATGTTAAAATCCATTGTTACGTTTATTGATCTTAAAACATTAGAACAGGAAAAAATAATGGCTCTTAGACCATTTTTACATTCTGTCAAATCTAAAAAAACTCTAAATTCTCAGCATTATTAGGGATTTTAGCTGACTTAACGCTAAGTGGTATTCATTACAGAGTAGCAGATAAAAAGATTTTTTAAACATATTCAGAAATCTTTTGAGAATCCGTGCTCAGCGCAGTCTGAAACTGCTAAATAAAACCTGATTCAGACCGAATGACGCATCAGACAGGTCAGAGAGTTATGGATACGTCTGAAGCTGAGTTTATTAAAGCACTTTTCAGTCCACCGTGCAAAAGCTTGGCAGGAGTACGGCATGTCTGCTTACATAAACTGACAAACTGGGCAAGAAGAGCATTACTCTGAGAGCCTCCCAGGAAGTCGGTAAGTTGAAGGCATATATGCGACGCAGCAAACATATGAAACAGGGAGCTCTGGTCAAAAAGGTGTTTGTGAACCTTGGTGAGGCAGTTTGACCAATTTCAAAGCTGGCAAACCAATACGTTTCCATGCATTCTTCTTCACCACACAAATCACCTGCTCCAATTTATTCATATCACAGCAGTTCAATTCTAGAAAACTTCAAGTCCAGACAGATTTGTAAGCAATTCAATGATTGCTTTCAATTTTATACTTAAATGCAAAGCGACATTTCCCCCAATATGTGAAGTTTTTTTTTTATTCTCTCAATGCTGAGAGGATAAAAACATGTTCAACAGATTAAAAAAAAAAAGATATAACTAAAGACTCTAAAAAGGAATCTCGATGCTGCAGTTTGTACCTATACACGAAGATGTCATGTAACATGGAAAGTGAGGAAATCACGTGGAAAATACACAGCTGGAAAACCAGATGTGTATTAATATGCCTTTAAGAAAAAAAAAATCTGTTTTATTACTGAATGTCCAACCACAGATTTTTTTTAAAATATAATTATTGTTGTCAAAGTCCTGATCCACTTAGTTTTTCCATTAATTTTGTTTAAAGTGATTTTTTTTTTCATTTTTCACTCTGAGATTGATATATCAAAGGTTATTACCCTTATCACACTTAAAAAAAAACATCAAAAAGAGCACTGCATTGTATTAAACAATTCAAGAAATTAACATTTAAATGGCTCAGATCTGATTAATGGCAGAAAGACAACAAGGCTTTTCAGCTTTTGACCTGATGATCATCAAAAACAGCAAATCAAGTTAAAATTGGCTGAATCTCTTTGCTGGAGGGCGAGGATCAAATGGAAATATACTGCCTCTTTGTGTAATACGGTAAAATTACAGATAGGATCAGAGCTTCAGGCTGGCTTTTTAAAAATATACTTCAAATATTTTTAATAAAAATCTGCTTATACAGCATTTTAACCATGTAAGTTAAAATAAACCAACAAGTGAGCCTTGAGCAAACATTATTTAAACCAAAACTATAATTAAAATGCATCATAACTCAAAGCAAATATTTTCCAGGCTTTATGCTGACTGTTAAGGTGCCGGCCGGCATGGAAAAATGTTGGTTTAACTGTCTGTTAAAATTGAAGAGAAAACCAGAAATACAAGACAAGCAGCTGAGTCAGGCTTATTCTTCAGGGAAAACACATTCCAGCGGAAAAAAGTAACAAAACAAAATGAGCTCAAATCGACTAAATGTCAGCAAACGGCCGGCCGGGTTGGCTGGCAGCACCATTGTTGAGCTGCAGTCCATTCACTTCCTGATGGCAGCCACAGCAGCAGCAACAGCAGCTGGGTGTTTGAGTGGACACAACAATGAAAACATGTCTGTCTGAAGCCTTTAAAGACGCGACGGGAAGCAGCGAGGCGCACACTTACACACACAAAGCTCCACCACGAAAGCGTAGTAGGACCAACAGACGACAAGGGCGATAAAAATCACAGGGATCCAGGCTAAACCCCGTTGACAGCATCTCAGTACGTGTGTGGGCGCCATCTTTCTCCCTCTGCTACTGGGGGAACAGGGAGTGTTGGCCGTGATGACGTCACTGTACGTACCCGCGCAGAAGGAGGTTAGGTTTAAATAAAATAAATAAAAGTAAAAAACGGTTAGGTTTAAGTAAAAAAAGTTATTTAGAATAAAATTTAAATAAGATTTTTTTTAAAGTTTTTTTTT